GATAGATAGATAGATAGATAGATAGATAGATAGATAGATAGATAGATGATAGATAGATAGATAGATAGATAGATAGATAGATAGATAGATAGATACCATAAGATAGATAATGTGGAGATAGATAAGAGAGAGAGAGAGATGATAAATGATAGAGAGAGAGAGTAGATATATATAGAGAGATAATCTAGAGAGAGAGAGATGATAAATGATATATAGAGTAGATAGAAAATAGATAGGTGATAGATAGATAGATACATAAATACATAGAGATAAATAGATGATAGATAGATAGATAGATAGATAGATAGATAGATAGATAGATAGATAGATACCATAAGATAGATAATGTGGAGATAGATAAGAGAGAGAGAGATGATCAATGATATATAGAGTAGAGAGATAAGTAGATGATAGATAGATAGATAGATAGATAGATAGATAGATAGATAGATAGATCTCCCCCCAAATGGTGCAGAGTTATTTTGAAGATTATAGATAGTCACATTAGCTGCCATGGCCTTTTTGAAATGGGAGTTTAAAGGGATAGAACTGTTCCGGCTATCTCTGCTTCCTGGACCTTGGTTATTGTAATACCAATATAACAGGACAAGAAAGCATTTATTTGAACCCTTAACTTTTTCACCCACTTACATTTTCATTGGTGAGGCACTGAACTCGCTCATGGAAAGTGCCAAGGTACTCGGGATCTTTGGCCATGGAGTCCTAGCTGTGAGGATGAAGCTTTGCCTGTATGGAGCAAAATCCAGGCAGGAGCCAAAGAATGTTGTCTGAATGGCAAGGAAGGAAGTTTCCCCTTGTTCTGGCAGGTGAAGGCAGGGTTGCTACCAACTCCAGTTGCTAACAGGCGTGGCTCTCAGCTTCGTAATAAAGTGCAGAGAGACGGTTGTACCTTCCCTCCACCAAATAATGCAACCAGCTTAAAAAACTTTCTGGAAGAATGCTATCCAAAATAAAATAAGGTAGTATAAGATTGCCCCAATGTGATTTTTCCCCCCCTCAGCATTGAAATTGAGTTGACCAGGTTTTCGTTTCTTTGGGCCAAATCTTCAACTTTGAGAAATGTATTAGGGGCCACTCTTTAAAAAAAAAGCTAGATTGGGGCTAGAATAAAGGCTGTTCAGTTAAAGCCACTTTGACAGAACTTTTGAAATGTTTTGGCAACTGTAGTGGAAGTTCTGTCTCAAACTGTGATTCAACATTCCTTGTCAAACCAGTGGAGCTGAATTATTGCTTCGGGTGATCTTTTGCTTCTGTTCTTCTAGTGAAAATTAAGTTGGAGAACCATACATTGCCTTGCATTTTTCAAATCTGGGAACTTTGAGATGTGTGCACTTCAATTCTTAGAATTTCCCAATCAGTTTAATGATGTGATTAAAGTACCCTTCCTTCCTTCCTCCCTCCCTCCCTCCCTCCCTCCCTCCCTCCCTCTCTCACATCCTTTTCTCAAGCAAAGAGACAGATTTGTTTAGAAAACTTTGTTCCAATCCTCTTGAATCCTCTTTATTTTCAAATATTTTTCACCCAACCATGGATTTCCTTCTTCATCCCCTTTGGATTACAAAGTCCCACAATCTTTTTCTCTGTGTGCAGTTTCTCCCTGGGATTAAGAATTCATTTTAAGGACAAAAATGTGCTTTCAAAAATGGATTGGTATCCTCTGATTTCTGGATTTCTTCTGTTAATCAATAGGAAGAGACCAAACAGTGAAGTTATATTATTCAATCCATTTTCATTTCACTTTTATTTTCAGACCGCTTATATTAACCCTTCCATTTTCTTTGACTCTTCAACAATCATACGGTTTTGTTCCAGATCTACTTATTCCTCTAGCATGACGCTACAGACCTTTGAATAGTATTAATTAATAAGGCAGGCAATGTAATTACTGTATAAATAAACCCTGAATTATTTCTATGTAATATGGGGGTGAAAGCAATTATAGCTCCAACCATACTGTCTTACAATGGAAGAGTCAACACTGGGTTGAATCCATTAAAATTGAGGCGGTGGTTAAATTGCTGAATCAAAACTAAATAAATCATTGCGTGTTCCCTTTGATTTAGTTGCATGACTATTTTGACAATTCCATAATAACAAATGTCACTGAATTAGTCTTCAGACAGATCAAATGGAAAGATGAGCAACTGAGAGATAAAAATCAATTAGATGTATTCATATGACGATGCTCCTTGTCTTCAAGATTCCCTTGAAGAGTTGATCACCAACTTCTATGACACCTCCAGTTGTTTTCTTCACAGCAGAATAGAAGTGTTTGGCCATAGCTTGCTTGAAGAATGTTTTTTACTTCCTGGTCTAGAAAACAGTGGTAGGTTGCCCTAGGTTAGGGTGTTCAATGTTGACAACTTTAAGACTTGTGGACTTCAACTCCCAGAATTCCGCAGCTAGCTGGGGAATTCTGGGAGCTGCGGTCCATAAGTCTTGAAGTTGCTAAGATGGACACCCCTTGTCCCAGATAGTCCTTCATCCAATATGAAGCAACTTTCTCCCTGTTTTGTTTCTGGACTTCAGAGAAGGTCAACTGGATCCTGCCAAATCCCTGAGAGATATTTTCATATGTTACCCTTCCATCCCATTAAAAAAGAAAGCTCAGGGATTGGAGGAGGGCTATGGAGCTTTCATTTATGGCTCTTATTCTATAGTGCAAACATGTTCTTGGACATGTCTCAATCTGTTTGCCTCCAGATAGGCCGCTAAGAGCTGAGATCAACCAGAAAGCCGAACTCACAAAATTGGACCTTCCAAGCACCATCCTCAGTTCCGAAAGCCTTCTCACATCCATCTCACCATTAAAAAAAAAACACACATCCTTTTTTACAACCCTGTAATCCCTTAATTCGGGGTAGAATCAGAGTGACTGGATGGAGCTCAGCAATTACTGGCCGGATTCCCTTTTTCTCTGATGCCTATATTCACAGCAAATATTTTCTCTTTGCGCTCTGATAGAGAAACATCTGCCTCTACCTAAGATTGAACTCTCAAGCTCACCAAATCTCAATCCTAATTACTACTGATGCCCCAAAACATCACTCATAGTCATGTTTCATGAGTGAGCAACTCAATGCCTCCCCCGCAAAAATATTGGATTATAGTTACAGGCAGCATTGACCAGACCAGCTGGGGAATGCTTGGGAGGGGAGAGGAAGAGGAGGGGGAGGAGGAAGAGGAGGAGGAGGAGGAAGGGGAGCGGGAGGAAGAGGAGGAGAGGGAGGAGGAGAACTGTTGGGGTCCTTGGTGCTCTCTGAGCCTGCTTGTTTTCTTGCAGACGTTTCATTACCCAACTAGGTAACGTCGTCAGTGCTGGTCATAGATTCCCAAGCCCTTGTTGCTTCCTTGAGGGGGGGAAAGTACTAGAGGAGACCAACATTTATCTGAATATGCCTTTAGAAATGTACACATTGAACCAATGAGGGAAAGGAAGGCTGCCAATGGGAAAATAAAGTTTCCCACCCCTCCTTTGGTTCCTTAGAGTCCACACCTCAGTGTCCATCGCCGGTGACCTCGCCAAGATGCTCCCGGCTGGCATTCAGCTCCTCCTGGCCAGATTCAGAAGTCCAATTAGCCAGTAGATCACTAAAATCGGGAGGATTGCCGTTGGGGGTGCCTATGGGACTGAGCGTCGGCTCTTTCCAGAAGGACCGAGGCAGCTTCCTGCTCTGCATGGGGACGACATGTGCAAATTTCCTCTCCAGCCACATCAATTTCTTATTATCCGGAGAGAGATGCCGCTGAAGACACCTACAGAAACCATACTCGAAAAGTTCAGCCAGGGGCCCCAGCTTTTCGTCTTTCCCACGCGGGGACCTCCAGAGCTGCTCAAAAGCCTTGTGGGGGTCAGAGAAATCTTCTTTATCCTCAGCCTCCCCACGCTGAGAAATCCCGATCAGATCTGTGTAGGACGTCGCTCGTCCCGACCGTGGTGAGGAGCAGAGGCTCTCGTGAGCCTTGCAGCTGCTTTCTTCCACCCCTTCCTCCTCTTCCTGCTCTTTGTTCTTCTTGCCAAAATACCTCTGGATGTCGTGGCTGATGCGTTCAGCAAATTGGAGGAGCTGCGTGGTCTTTTTCGTGTTACTGATGCTGGAGCTGGCCTCGGTGGAGGCATCTTTCCGCGAGGAGCTCACAAGGTCTTCTTCCAGTTCCATCTCTTCCCTTCCTTCCTCTCCTGACTCATCTTCCTCTTCCTCTTCGGTGTCTTCTTCTCCAGATAAATACTGGAAACTCATCTCCGGGCCAGCGATGGAGGTCAGAAATGGATGCTGGAATTCTGTGGGTAGCCTGAACTTGCTTAGAGTTTGTATCACTCCAGCTGCCATCTTTTCCCTCTTTGCTGTTCAAAAGAAAGAAAAAGAAAAAGAAAGTCAGTTCGCTTGTAACGTCTCTAAGCTGTCTTGGTGGCGCAGTGGTGAGAGTGCAGTACTGCAGGCTACTTCTGCTGACTGCCGGCTGACTGCCATTTGGGAGTCCGAATCCCACCAGACTCAAGGTTAACTCAGCCTCTTTCATCCTTCCAAGGTGGGTAGAATGAGGACCCAGATTGTTGGGGGCAAGAGGCTGACTCTGTAAACCGCTTAGAGAGGGCTGTAAAGCAGTATATAAGTCTAAGTGCTATTGCCATTCTTGAGATTCAAACAAGGTCAACATGAAATAACAATCCGATTGAACAAACCCTTAAAGAAGTGGGAAGAAAGGCAATATTAAATGGATCCATTGCTTTACTATGAATTGGTAAGATCACACTTGGAATATTGTATCCAGCTTTGGTTGCCACGATAGATGGCGGGACTCTGGTTGAAATGATATAAGATCTCCTGCTTGTGCAGAGGGTTGTGTCAGCTGGTGCTCCATTCAAAATCCAAGAAAGAAATACTTAGACTCCATTAATCAGAGAAAAGATATCTTTTACTGGAAATCAAGTGGCAGCAACAAAAGAATTCTGAATCTGAGAAAATGGGCACGTAAGTCACATATACAAAGTAATGGCAACGTTCCCACCCCCAATAGTTCAATTGGCTCATCCAATTAAAAGTTGTGTATATCATCATGTGGGCATCTCCAGGTGGTGATGAGGCTTCTGTCCGTTGACCTTGACATAGTTTGATAAAGGGTTGCAGCTCTGCATAGCATAGGATAGAAGCCTAAGCAAGAATCTACACCCCCCCCCC